CCGCCCAAACGCAGCGGGGCGGGGAGAGGGGCTCCGCAGCGACGGTCGAGCCCCGGCGCGAGAGAGCAGCGCCTGCAGTTCCTAGTTTGGGTTCAAGCTTTTTAAAAAGCACCCCGCGCGCTCTTCCAAGAAAAGGGAGGGCTTGCGTTGGCCGGGAATCGAACCCGGGTCAACTGCTTGGAAGGCAGCTATGCTCACCACTATACCACCAACGCTAGCGTTCCGCTGTCTTTAGAATTCCATACATAAGGAAAGTGGAGGCCGTGGATTTTTTTTTTTTTTTTTTTTTTTTCTCCGTGGCGTTCTACGCTCCCGAGGTACACGGAGCCTTCCTCTGGCGAGGATGGATCCCGAACTTACTCCTAATCGGTCCGCCAGTCACGGGGGCCGGCTGGGGTGGAGGGTTGGAGGAGGCGGGCGGGAAGGCGGAAGCCGCGCGTGGCTGGGGGATTTTCCCTGCCGCCTGATCTGATCCGCGCTCCCAGACCCGCCGCTTGGCGCGCCCCAGCGCTGGGTCCGCCGGCTGTGGGATTCGGTACCAGCGATTTGGCTGAGGGTCCAGGGGAGACCGGCCGGAAAGGGCGCCAGGAAAAATGGATCTTTACAGTTTAGGATGGTGGAGAACTAGGAAGGAGGAGTCAGAGACAGTTTTATTTTCCGTACTTTGTCAAGGAGCCTAGGGAGAGTTCTAGTTTTATTTAAAGCAATAAACGCAGCATCGATAGAACTTGACGTCATGATACAGCACTGTGGGGTAATCTGAAAGTGAAATAAGAAAAACTCCGGCCGTCATGTCAGGATGGCCGAGCGGTCTAAGGCGCTGCGTTCAGGTCGCAGTCTCCCCTGGAGGCGTGGGTTCGAATCCCACTTCTGACAAAGCCCTTTTTTTTTTTTTTTTCTCCTTCACTTTTTCCCCACCAACAAATACAATTGAATTCATGGAGAAAGGAGTATTGATTAATCAACACCACCTTTTTGTCCTGCGTATCTATTTATGAATATTATGCTTCACTGTGAATATGGGACTGAATCTATTTTTTTCTGTATTGTAGGCAGGAGACTGGTCTATGAAAACCGGAAGCAGTTGGGATCTATACCTAACTATGAAAAAAAATTTTGAGCCCTTTCTATGTGCCTGGCACACTAGGGCAGGCAGATGTCAAATTCTCCTCCGACCGAACAAGGAAAAGCTCTTAACTCAGATCCCTTCATTTGCTAACTCGGCGGGAGTCTTCTAATGCTCAGACCGTAGTGTTTAACTTTGGTAGGCCTCACATTTCCCACCATCTTGTGCCACCCACTCCTACCGTTGCAGGGTGGACGGGGGAGACCCCTGGGCCCGGAGGTTCAGCCAGTCCCTCGGATGTGACTGGAGGCTCTTAGTCTCGTGGCAAGAGAAAAATTCAAGGAGGGCCCAGACGATGGCTGAGCGGTGAAAGTGAAGAGTTTATTAAAGAGAAAGAGCGTGCAGTCTAGGGATATGAGAGCCGGAGTGCCAAAGAGAGAGCTGGGCCCAGGGTTTGGGTCTCTCTCTTTTATTGACTGTTGTTAACCAGGGGGTAGAGTATTTATTAGTTGGGGAGATTTCTCTGGGAGCAGGGTTTGTGGACTTTTCTCCCTGATTTGGTCAGGCTCAGGCCTTCTTTGTTTTGGGCCTGTCTGGTTTGATCTGGCTTTCTTGTGGCTTTAATTTTGGAATGCTGCCAGGCTAGGTATCTAACTTTCCTGACAGCTCACCCTGACTCCTTTGCTGGCATCCAGGAACCGGATTAAAACCCAACCAGCTACTGACTCTAACACCACCACCAATTCTAATCCAGTACGTTTGCTGTGTAACCAAAACCCAGGAAATGAAGTCAATAGAACAAATCAGGAAAAGTAATACAGAGAAAAGGTAAACTTGCGGAGTTTGTTGTTGCAAGAGCTACTTTTTCCTGAAGATCACAAAGAAGATGCTTTCAGATGTAGGAGGAACTGGTTATGAAAAAATCCTGTTGCTCTTCTGGGAAGAGGATAGAATTGTCAAGATGAAGAAGCTGAATATGTGAGGTTCACAAGTGTGAGGATGGTGAGGATGGAAGGATTCTTCAGGTCGGATTAGGGAAAGTTTGCCAAACAAACTGCCTTCTTTGTTATTTACTAGACCTTGATCTTGGGAAGTCTGCCTGCAGTATAACCTATACAGAGTTGTTGGGAGGCTTAGAGGAGAGCCTAGGAGTTTATTAGAAATGCAGATTGCAGGACGCACCTCAGACCCACCAAATCCAAAGTTTGTAAGATCTCCAGGTGATGCACGTGCATATGAAAGCTTGAGAAGCCCTGGTCTGTCTAATTTAGGTGCCTTTGTACAGGTTGATCTTGAACTTGGAATATCCTTTCCCTTCTCACCAAGGCACCTTTTACTCACATATGTCAGACACTGTGCTTAGAACACGAGATCAAAAGTTAAATTAAAAACTGTGTCTAGGGGCGCCTGGGTGGCTCAGTCATTAAGCATCTGCCTTCGGCTCAGGTCATGAGCCCAGGGTCCTGGGATCGAGCCCCACATTTGGCTCCCTCCTCAGCAGGAAGCCTGCTTCTCCCTCTCCCACTCCCCCTGCTTCTGTTCCCTCTCTCGCTGTGTCTCTCTGTCAAATAAATAAATAAAATCTTAAAAAAAAAAAAAGAGAACTTTCCTTCTTACACCCTATATGAGTTTTTAAAGACAGAATGAGATATATGTTGTTGAAATGCTAAGAAACTATGCAAACCCTGTGAGTGTTATGATTTAAGCAGTTAGTTTCCAACAGGAGACCCGGAAGCCAGCAGCGAGGAAGCCATGGCCAGCTACTGGAAGGTCAGAGGCCTGTCCTGGCAGCCCTCCACAAGAAGCCGGATCAAACCAGACAGGCCCAAGATGGCAGATGCCATGACAGGAAACCCCTAACCAAATAAGGAAGAAAAAGCTTGAAACCCTGCTTCCTGCCCCAAGTAATAAATATTCTGCCCCCTAGTTAACAGCTGTGAATAAAAGAAACCCAACCCCATGCTTACATGGCTCTCTCCCTCCCTCCCTCCCTCTCTCTCACTTGGCTACTCTCATATCTGCTCTCATATCTCAAGAGTGTACTTTTCACTTTAATAAACTTTCTCGCTTGTGTCACTTGTCCACTGTGCTTTGTTGTCTGTCCTTGAATTCATTCGCGTGACAAGATCAAGAACCTTTGGCAAATCCTTGGGGTCTGGCTGGGTCGAGGCCCCAGTCTCACCAGTTCACCAGACAACACAAGTACCATCATTCCTCTTGGGAAGTACAAACAGGTGGGGTGGTCCATGTTGGAAGTTGGGAGGAAATTCAGGAAAGGGAAAGTGTAATATTGAATGTGTATTCGATGTCCTCTTTTGGGGGGTAGGTTCCTTCAATGTGAAACCAGGATGCCCAGGACGAAGGCCAGATGCAAGGAAAGAAGAGCAGTTAAAAATGTGAAATGACACGTTCAGGAGGGGGAGTTGTCTCTGCAACCCCCTCTCCACCCACTAGAGACAACCTTAGCTACTGATAATGTAGCCTCGCTCTAGCCAAACCCACCTGCCTCTCTGAGATAAAAATGCATCTTCCGTTGCTCACAGGAGAGATAGAGTGTGAACTGGGTTAACTGGGAACTAACGCATGCAAGTCTACCCTTGCTCTCATAGTGTCATTTACTTAACTGGCAGTAAAACTGAGCCTGAGGAGACTTCCCAGCTTCAGTCATTTGCTATAAAAAGCACATATTCACTTAGTGAATAATGTAAATAATACAATAAAATATACACTTTCCTCTCAGGGCTCAGCATCCAACTGTGTCCTACAGGAATAACATATCCAATTTCACAACATCTGGGGGAAGTTCTGATAATAGAGTTGCGGCCTCTCTGTGAGGTGACAACGCAGAAGCTCCGGAATCAGGCAGGACAGGGTTCTCAATTCCACCCACACACACTTAATCGCTGTGTGACCTTGAGTAAAGTGTTTAACCTCTCTGAACCTCAGAATCCTCATGCTCCAAAAGAGCTACTACCCTGTGATGTTGCAGTGGGGATTAAATTAGATTATGCGTGTCAGGTACCTGCTACGTAGATAATTAGTCAACCAAGATAATTAGTAATAGCTACTATTTGTGCTCATATGCTATATGCCTAACATTCTTCATCACTTCTTATGTACATTAATTAATTGAACCCTCTTGGCAACCCTGAGATAGGTCCTATTTCATCACCCTCCCATACAGAAAGTGCAACCAAACCTCAGAGAGTTTAACTCACACCATATATAAAGGAACAGAGCTGAAAACCTAAGCAGTCTGGTTCCAATACTGTCACTATGATACACGGCTGTCATTATTATTATTATTATTAATTACTATCATCATCATCATCATCATCATCATCATCATCATCACTCTAGGGCCCATCAGCAGAAACCAGATGGGCCCATGCTATTCCTCTCACACACATAAGATCAACAGTGACTTTAATCACACCGCTCCATGTACTCTCTCCAGAGTCAGGAGAAACTACATCTCCAGAGTCCAGACTGGGGTTTGTTCTCTGAAAGAACAATGGATAAGGTCACTTGCTTAGTGACAGCTAATTAGCATATAAATTATTTCTCAGAGTATTAGGACACTAGACAAACTAAACTAGAATCCCAATACGGAATTTTTTATCTTAGGGTCACACATGCGAACCTTGCCAGGACTTAGTTTCTCTCCATTCTCCATGTTTCTGACTCTTATCTCCTTCATTCTTCCCCTGATAACTCACAGCTGTCTCCTATCAGCCCTTAGATTTTACTAGTCTCAACGTTTCTGCCTTAAACTCTCCTTACCCTGTTTCCTTCTGTGGAAATCACACACACAGGGTTGCAAGTTCTCTTCATAACCGTCCTTCAATAGCGACCCCAACATTTTCTGCTTCCGAAAGCCTTGCCTCTTTATATATTTAATTGGTTGGAATGAAAACTAAGGAGGAGTTTTAAAAGTTTATTTAGATCTGTATTTCACAAAATCCACATATATTAACAAAATCCATACATGCAAGTAACAAAAAAAAAGTAGGTAAAAGCGATGTTGAAGTGCCACACAAATGTTAATAATAATTACTTCTGGGGGCGCCTGGGTGGCTCAGTCAGTTGAGCATCTGCCCTTGGCTCAGGTCATGATCTCAGAGTCCTGGGACTGAGCCCTGTGTGGGGCTCCCTGCTCAGTGGGGAGCCTGCTTCTCCCTCTCCCTCTGCCCCTCCCCTGGCTCATGCTCTTTCTCTCTCTCTCATAAATAAATAATATATTTAATAATAATAATAATAATAATAATAATAATAAATACTTCTGCCTGTCTGAAATGGGAGAAGGGGATTTTTTAGAGTGAAATGACACAGACCTCAATTATACAACACACTGCGAAGAAAGCTCCTGGTTTGGGTGGAAGATTCCCCTCTACCCCCATTCCTGGGGTTCACAGCCAGATCACAGAAGACAGTCTAGAAGGCGCACAAGCCCAGCCCTTATGTCACAGAGGACTTGTCAGAAGGGGCCATTCCATCCACCTCAGGGCTCTACTGGGGGTTCCCTGGCCAGCTTCAGCTCCACAACGACCACCCCCAGGGACACGAGGCCCTCCAGAGGCCTGGAGAAGGTGAGGTGACAGGGGCACCTGGGTGGCTCAGTTGGTTGAGCGACTGCCTTCGGCTCAGGTCATGATCCTGGAGTCCCTGGATCGAGTCCCGCATCGGGCTCTCTGCTCGGCAGGGAGTCTGCTTCTCCCTCTGACCCTCCTCCCTCTCATGCTCTCTGTCTCTCATTCTCTCTCTCTCAAATAAATAGAGGTGACAGATTTGCTCCAGCTCCCTCTTCTGATGCTCATACTCCTCCTTCTCTGCCAACTGGTTGTGCTCCAGCCAGGCAAGAACTCCCTGACGCTTGTCTTGTACCCTGTGCCTGTCCTCTTTGGAAATCTTGTCTCTAAGGCTTTCCTCCTGCCCCGAGCCCTTCGCATGGAAGACACTGGCCTCTAGGGAGTTCTGGGCAACCACTCTGTCCCTCTGGGCCTCATCCTCAGCCTTGTGCTGCTCAGCCTCCCAAACCATCCTCTCAACGTCCTCTTTGCTCAGCCGGCCCTTGTCGTTGGTGATGGTGATCTTGTTAGCCTTCTCTGGGCTCCTGACAGCTGCACACTCAGGATGCCATTGGCATCAATGTCAAAGGTCTCCTTGATCTGGGGGAACTCCATGTGCTGTAGGAGGGATTCCTATGAGCTCAAAGTGCCCCAGCAGATGATTGTCCCTGTTAATGGCCCCCTCACTCTCAGACACCTGGGTCAGGACCCCAGGCTGGTTGTCTGAGTAGGTGGTGAAAGTCTGGGTCCGTTGGATAGGGATGGTGGCATTCTTCTGGATCAGCGTGGTCATCACCCCACCTGCTGTCTCCAGCCCCAGGGACGGGGGAGCCATGTCCAGCAGCAGGAGATCCTGCACTTTCTCACACTCATCCCCCATCAACACAGCCACCTACGCAGCAGCCCCATAGCCACAGCCTCATCGGGGTTCATGCTCTTGTTCAGCTCCCTGCCCCCAAAGAAGTCCCGTCCACTAGGACAATGTCATGCATCCGGCCTTCTCCAGCTTGGCATCCCGCAGGGCCTTCTCCACCCAGTCCAAGGCGCTGCGCAAAACAACCAAGCTCAGCTCCTCGAAGCAGGCTCGAGTGATGGACGTGTAGAAGCCCACGCCCCCCAACAGGGAACGATCTCACAGTTGGCCTGTGAGAGCGCCACGTGCCCCCTGACCTCCCGCACCCAGGCCTCAGACGTCTGGAAGACACGGGCGTCCATAGTGAGGACCCTTACGGCGAGGGTGCTCCCACCCAGGGCGAAAATGAGCACATTTTGCTCTCTGGCGCCCCGCGGGTCAGCCGGTTGGCGAGGGCGGCCGCCGTGGGCTTGTTGATGATCCGCAGCCGGGGTGGCGCCCCGCGATGGCACCCGCGTCATTGGTGGCCTGGCGCCTCGAGTCCTTGAAGCAGGCGCACTGCCTCCTCCCCCTGGTCCGGCACAGTGGACGAGACCTCCTCGGGGTGGCAGGACACGCGCACCCAGGCCTCGCCGTCCTCCCTCGCCCCGCGCAAGGGCCGGTGATTCGGGGCTTCGCGAACCTGCGCGCCGTCAGCCTCGTGGCGTCCAAGCGGGCGGTGCGCGGGGCTCTCGGCTGCCCGCACCCTAGCGGCGCGGGGTCGGGGAAGGCCACCTAGCGGGGCGCGTGCCGCACGCCCACGCACGAGCGCGTGGAGCCCGGGTCCGTGCCCACCGCCACTTCGCTGGGGCGGCTGTCGCTCGGGCTTCTCGCGCTCCCGGGACGCGGGACTCGGGGCCGCGAGGCGCGGCCTCCACGAGCCTGTCGTTCCCCGCCGCCGCGCCGCCTGCCGGCCACCCGCGTCTGGCTCAGCGGCGGGGAAAGTCCGGCTCCTCCCGGCGGGCTGCAAGCGCGGTGGGAAGCCACTGAAGGCCCAACGCCCGGAGAGAACAAAGGCTCGCCCTGGACGGTTCAAGAGGGCGGGTCCGACGCCTGCAGCCGCGGAAGCCGAAGGCGCGTGGCTCTGTGCGAAAGGAGCCGCGGCCTCCGAGCCAGGACTTCCTGTAGCCTTTTTTATTGTCGTTCTTTTCTGAGTCGTCACGTTTTTCTTTCTTGAACTCTAAAGGCTCTACTTTCTAAAGGGTGACTCAGCAAGGACCGGGTTCCCGCGGTGGAACGGAGCTAGGGAAGCATATGAAGTTAAAGGATGGCGCCAGGAGGGGGCATGGCGTGAGCATTGGTGGTTCAGTGGTAGAATTCTCGCCTGCCACGCGGGAGGCCCGGGTTCGATTCCCGGCCAATGCAGCCTAATGCTTTTATGTCGCACACTTGTTTGAACTAAGTCCTTCTCCATTCTTGGATTTGTGACACTGAACTAAAAGAAACCAGCTAGCTGAAGCCTTTTGTTTGGTCCCCCTTCTTTACCGAGTCACTTCCCTCTGAGGAGCGGGGGGCCTGGAAGGAGGCGGCGCCTGAGCTGTGGTGGAAATACCCTGCTCTTGAGACCTGTCCCTGATGCCCCGCTCGTGTCCCCAAGGGGCATTGTCCCAGAGGCCGGCTGGAAAAGCACAGTATGCCAAAAGGAGGAGACTTTTCGGAGACATGAGTGTGGAAGTGGAGGAAAGAAAACAAAATGTCCTTGTCATTTGCCCGTTGGGGAGTGGAACCTGAGTCTCCCAGGGGGCAGGCAGAGACACTCCCTGCTACACTGACCAGGGCAGTATGTAAGAGTGTGTGATGCATGAATGTGATACATTAAACTTCAGTAGTTTATTAAAGGAACTTAAAGTTGACTTTTGTGTAATTCAAAGGAAACCAATTTTTAAAAGGAGAAACAAAAACCCGTGCTCCATAAGTGGCTATTTTCCTCTCAGAGGGCTTGAGAACCCTTCTGGAAGCTCAGGGAGCCTTTGAAGAGGGAGGCAGGAGTCAAGATGCAGAGGTCAGCCTGGCTTCTGGACTGGGTTTCTTGGTCAACCCTCTCCCTCTGTACCGGTGAGAAGGAGCTGCCAAAGTTTGCTGCTGGAGAGATCAGCTATACTGGGATCAGTCCTGGTGATGGGTCCAGGAAAAAAGGGAATGTTTGAAGAAGTGTGCAATGAATGACTTCACAGTGGAAAATCAAACCATCCTCAAAAAGAAGTCACCTATTTTGTAGCCCCAGAAGAAAGAGGAGTTGTCCGCTTTAAATTCATTCACTCTTAAGAGATTAGGCCAGCAAGGCCTGGGTATCACATTTGGGACATTTTAGCCGAGAACCTGCAAGAGAAGGGTCCTCACCTCAGGAGGAAAGGTGGCCTGGCCTTGGATCTGTGCCCTGGCCTGTTCAGAGACTGTCTTCTCCAGGCTCCTCCAACATTCTCTCCCAGCCCTGGGCAGCTCAAAGCCCCACCCATCCCCCCACCCCCAAGAATTCTAGGGATAGCTAAAGCAAGCACCTCCATACCTGGACATTAACCACACAGGCGCTCTTCCGAAGTCTTTCATTTCTTTACTTTTTAATTCAGAAATGTTCCAATATAGAGGATCGTATGTTGCAGTGCTAACTTCATACACACACTTAAATATATCCACTTATGTTTAGTAACTTAGCTTGAGTAACTTAAGTAGAACAGATTTTAAAGTGATAACTTAAATGGACGTTATGAAGTGGATGGAAGCTCATGACCCAATATTGAGTTCAAAAGCCAAATTTTAAAGCAAAATGTATAGTACAATCCAAAACTGTATATGTAAAGGTTTCTAACGCCAACTACCTGTATATCCTTGAACGAGTCATTTCGACCATCTGGGCAATAACTTCCTCAATTTTAAAATGAGGAGATTAAACTACGTCATTCATAAGGACTTTCTAGGTTTAAAATTCTGATTTCAAATGCTAAAGAATTTACTCATCCCACAAATATTTGAGTGCTTTATCACGTGCCAGACACTGACCTACACTCTAAGTATGGCAGTGAACAAAACAAAGGCCTGGCTTTCCTGGAGCTCACATTCTGATAAGAGGGGTAGTCAGGCAATAAACAAACAAATGAACATATGGTACGTCAACTGGTATTGAGTATAATGAGGGAAAATAAAACGGGAGACGGAGATGGTGAGGGAGTGGGGTTATGGTGAATGATCAAGGAGACCTCATGATAAGGTGACATTTGAGTCAAGACCATGATGAAGCGTGATGTGGATATCAACAGAAGTTACATAAGCCCTGAAAGGAAGGATAATTGGTGCGTTCAAGGAAGAGCAAGAGAGGAGCAAGATCATGTAACACCTTGTAGAACATTGCAAAGCTTTAGCTTTTACTCTCAAGTGCAAGGAGAAGCTATTGCTTAGCGTTAGGCAAAGAAGTGACAAATACAACACACATTTTATTTATTTATTTTTAAGATTTTATTTATTTATTTGACAGAGAGAGACACAGTGAGAGAGGGAACACAAGCAGGGGGAGTGGGAGAGGAAGAAGCAGGCTTCCCTCAGAGCAGGAAGCCCGATGCAGGGCTTGATCCCAGGACCCTGGGATCATGACCTGAGCCGAAGGCAGATGCTTAACGACTGAGCCAGCCAGGTGCCCCTACAACACACATTTTAGAAGGACCACTTTGGCTGTTGTGGTGAGAATAGACTTTAGGGTAGCAAGGGTGAGCTTAGGGGGGCCAGTCAGGTGCTGATTGTAGTAATCCAAGTGAGAGATGATAATGCCTTGGACCAAGGTGCTAGTTGTCAGCTTGCTGGACTTATTTTGAAAATAGAAGCAGAATTTACTGAGTTTCCATGTATTTGAGGAGCCTTCCTCTGGGATATGTGAAAACACATTTGCTATGAGTCCTTATAGAGCTGGCTGGGCTGACTCTGTGCCTTGACCTTCAGAAATCCAGTGAGGGTGGGGCCTATGACAATTTAGCTCTGGAGATCACAGGCCCCTTGTTTTCCTTGGAGGCTAAAGGATGGTTGGAGGCTCTTTAGCCAGATCACTGTGGAGAGGGACTGCGGGGGGAGGAAAACTGTGGCTGGACCAGAGGTTGCTGCCGCCACTGCGGTCCTACCTTGGCAAGAAAGGCTATTTGCCCAGAGGCCCCTGGCTCCATTTGACTTTGCAGTTCATCCAGGCTCTCTTTGAGCTTTGAAGGTCTCTCTACACAAAGATGGCCCCGTGTCCACAGCAAACAGGAGTCCCATCACCAAGCAGAAGGTGATTGGATACCCAGGTGGAAAGATGAACAGGATTGCCAGACCTAATAGGAAATGCAGAGGGATGGGGAAAATGATGGTTGTTAAGGCACAAATTTGGAATAAACAGTCAGGTCCCCTGTGGGGAGCCTTTGTGAAGTCACCCAAGCCAGGGGCTAAGGCCAAGGCCAAGAGCAGCCAGGTAGCCCAGGAAGTCTTCAGAGAGTCTCTTCATCTGTCTTTCCAAATAAAGCACTGGATCAGCATTTCCTAAAGGGTGACCTTGGGCACATCTGTTCTGAGGGACATTGATACAAGTTACAGAGGAAAAAAGATCCTGTGGTTACCTAGCTTTGGCAAATGCCTTATAAAACTTAGTTTAAAAGTTTTCTTTGCAATAGGGCTTCTTGGAGCCTTTAATGGGCATTATGAATATACAAGGAAAGGAACAGCATAGCAGAATGTTCTGCATTATTTTTACCACGGAACCCTTCATTCCGAAAAGCCTCTCAAGGAGTTGTGTGACTGGCGAACAGCTTTTGGAAAACACTGAACTGGGAAATTCAGACTATATCAGCAGATTCACTCTCCACTTCCTCTGAGCTCAGGACTGGGTGGTATTCACTGACCAACACGAGTGAGAACAAAAGACCCCAATAATTAGCAGCAGCTAACAAACAAGATGGGTTCCCTCAGGTGAAGGGAAAGAAAGTTTTAATCAGGCCGAATGACTGTGGGAAACAAAAGCAGTCAGTGTGTTAGCTTAGGCAGTTAAGTTCTAACAGGAGACCAGGAAGCAGCAGCGAGGAAGCCATGGCCAACTATTGGGAAGGTCAGAGGCCTGTCCTGGCAGCCCTTCACTGGAAGCCAGATCAAACCAGACAGGCCCAAGATGGCGGATGCCATGAGAGGAAACCCCTGACCAAACAAGGAAGAAAAAGTTCGAAAACCTGTTTCCTTCCCCAAGTAATGAATATTCTGCCTAGTTAACAACTGTCAATGAAAGATAGACACCCCCCCCAGGGCACACATCCCATACTTTCTCTCCCTCTCCCCTCCCCCACCTTGCAATAAACTTTCCCACTTGTGTCACCTGTTAGCTGCGCTGTTGTCTGTCCTGGAAATTCCTCCTCATGACTATGATGTAGGTTTTTTGAATGCTGGTGTGTTGTTTGTGGGGTCCAGAGCCAACAGCCATGAAAGAATTCTTGAGACGTCTTCGGTACAAAATGGTGGTTTTATTAAAGCGCGGGGACAGGACCCGCGGGCGGGAAGAGCTTCTCTCCCTGCTGCCCTGGGATTATGAGGAGCAAGTGATTATATACCTTGGGGTCAGGGGAAGTAAAGATAAGGGAGGAACTTCCACATGTTAAAGAAGATTCAGAATCTTGGGGAATGTTACAATCTGCCTATCTCAAGTATTGTCAATGGGCTGCATGTTTTAACAACAATACAGGTAAGTTGGAGAGTGTTCTGGGTGAATATCAAAGGCCATACCAGTTGCTGTTCGCTAAATAGAGATGGACTTTCCGTATTTACTAAGGATGTGGAGTAGATCCGCATCACCAGATAGAGGGTTAGGAGAAGAAACAGCTTCCTGGTAAACCTGAGAGGATAAATTTGTTGCTAAGTATATCTCCACAGCGACCTGTCCAACAGAAATGCAATGTGAACCACATATTTAAATTCACATATATAATAGCTGCATCTGTAGAACTAAGAAGTAAAAAAAGTGAAAGTAAAAAATCATCTCATCCTTAATGGCGATGATCCCTCTAGCATTTATGAAATTACAAGTATATAATTTTTACATTATTTTTCATGATACATCCAGATACAGTAGTCACAACCCAGGGAAAAAATAGGTAATGTTAGTGTCTATTTCCAATAGATCATGTCTGCAGATACCTGACATGCATGCCCCACTTCCAGCACCCTGCTCACAGCTAGAAGGGGCAGCCCTAGGTCTGTCACGTGGGAAAAGCCCTCTCCTAACCCCTTCACTCTCCTCCTGCCCCAGGTCAGGCTGGGATCTATCATTACCCAAGGAGGACGGAGTTCACAGAATCACCAATGACTAATCAGACTTTGAAATTAACTGAGGTGCAAACACTTCAGGTAGATGATGGCAGGTACTTAATTGAAAGGTCACGTCAAGTCAGACACGTTAGGTCATGTAAAAATAAAGCAAGCCATCTGAGAGAAGGAGAGGCGAAGGAAGGGAGGACGGAAAGGGGAGAGAGCGAGAGTGCAAGAGAAAATGAGAGAACTGGTTGAAATTGTGTCGACCTCTGAGAGTCGGGAACCTGGGCCAGATGTTCCGAAGAGGTATCCAAATTGCTCGACTGGATCCATCTGGAATGACACCAGCATAACCAGGGCCTCGGGTCATTAATTTTCCGGGCAACCAATTATTTTCCTCATTTTTTATCCACACGGGTGCGTCCTGAGTTGAGATTGAGGCTGACGAGAAATGTTTGTCAGCTCTGGTATATGGTTCTCCTTGGGGTAAATTTAAAAAATTTAAAATGAATACGGTTTGTGTCATGATATCTCAAGGGGAGATTCCCCCTTTCTTTTTAGATATAATTTTACGGAGTTGTTTTTTAATGGTGCCATGCGCCCTTTCTACTACAGCTTGTCCTTGAGGATTACAAGGAATACCTGTGATATGCTGTATTTGCCATTTTGCAAGGAATTCTCATACTTTTTTGCTAGTATATGCTGGGCCATTGTCTGTCTTGATACAAGTGGGTAATCCCATAATAGCAGAACATTCAAGCAAATGAGAAATAACATGCCCAGCCTTTTCTCCCATCAATGGAGTAGCATGAAGAAATCCTGAAAAGGTGTCTATTGTAACATGAGTATACGAGAGACGTCCGAAAGGTGGGAAATGAGTAACGTCCGTTTGCCAAATACAATCAGGAGCTGTGCCTCTGGAATTGATGCCCGCAGGATGCTCAGTTAAATGTAGAGGTTGACAAACAGGACAGGAAGAGACAATCTGCCTGGCAGAACGCAAGGGTATTTTATAGTGCGAATGAAGGCAGCTGGCATTGGTATGAAGATGGGTATGTTCTGCCTGTGGAGTTTAAAAGATAGGAGTAGCCAGTAAATCAGCAGATTGATTCCCTTGTGTAAGAGTTCCAGGGAGGTTAGAATGAGAGTGGATGAGTAATGAACAAAGGGTGAGCTCGAGATTGAATTTCTAATTGTAATTCCTGAAGCAAAGGGTTAATGATAGAGTGAGTTGTGGAAATGAGAGCTGTTTCTAAAGGCGCAACAATGCTAACTACGTAGGCGGAATCAGATACGATATTTACAGGATGATGAACATTCTGTAATAAGAACAATAAAGCTGCAAGTTCGACTTGTTGAGCAGAAGTGTAAGGGGTTTTTATGGAGCGCTGAAGAGCAGGGCCCCAGACTCCAGCGCGCCCGGAAGAGGAGCCATCAATAAAGTATGTAGGAGCTGAGGGGACTGGAACCTTACTAACCACACGATTTATAACCCAGGCAGTGCGCTTTAGGAAGTCCCATAGTTTACCTGAGGGAGAGTGGCAACCTATGCGCCCAGTATAATCAGCAAGAGATATCTGCAGATCAGTAGAGAAGGGAAGGACTTCCTTAAAAGATGTGGAAGAGATAGGTAAAACAATGAGTGCTGGGTCAAAACCTAGAATTTGAATAGAACACTTTCATCCTTGGAGAATGAGTGAAGCTACAAGAGATAGATATGGAGTAACAGTTCGAGAAGTTTTTGTATGTAAAGTCACCCATTCGAGAGGTTTGTCTTCTTGCGCTAAGACACCAGTTGGAGAATGAGGGGTAGGGAAAATAAGAAGCAGCAGGGGGAGAGAGTCATCATACCTGTAAGCAAAGGGAGTTTTTAATCGCTCCTCAACAAACTGCAGTTCGGCCTCTGCCTCTGAGGATAGAGTGCGAGGACTATCGAAAGCAGAATCACCTTGTAAAGTGTTAAATAAATTTTGTGATTTATAAGTTGGAATCCCCAGGAGAGGGCGAATCCAGTTAATGTCTCCTAGGAGTTTCTGAAAATCATTAAGAGTAAGGAGCATATCCCTACGAATTTACATTGTTTGAGGTTTCACTGTGGTTCTACCAACCACAGTGCCTAGATAAGAAGCCGGAGTAGTTGTTTGGATCTTCTCCGGGACTATTATGAGGCCGGCGGAAGTCAAATGTTGGGAAGTGGCCTGATACACATTTTGTAATTCAATTTCAGTTTGTGACGCTAGTAAAATATCATCCATATAATGAATGATATAGGATTGAGGATAATGATCTCTTACAGGTCTGAGGACCTGGCCAACAGAATACTGACACTTGGTAGGAGAATTAGTCATGCCTTGTGGTAAAACTGTCCAGTGATATCGTCTCATTGGTTCCTTGTTCTTAGTGCTTGGAACAGAAAAGGCAAACTTCTCCTTATCGTCAGGATGAATGGCTATGGTATAGAAACAATCCTTAAGATCTATTATTATCAATGGCCATTGTTTGAGAATGGCTGTAGGAGTAGGTAGCCCAGGCTGCAAGGCACCCAGAGGCTCCATGATGGCATTAACGTTCCGAAGGTCCATTAAGAGCCTCCATTTGCCTGATTTCTTTCTGATAACAAAAACAGGAGAGTTCCAAGGAGATTGCGAAGGCTCTGTATGTCCTGCCTGCAATTGCTCTTGAATAATTTGCTCTAAGTCCTGCAATTTTTCTATCGGAAGGGGCCATGAGTTGAAGGGAGGCTATTGAAGCTTGATGTGTAAAAGTGCCAATATTTCTACATAGACGAAGATAATCGAGAATACCTTCTGTTTCTCTATGTGGCCGGATGGCAGCTTGGCAGTCCTCATTAGCATTTTCAAAAGCAAGCTGTCTTAGCAAGTGCTCTTTGGCAGGTTTACTATCAACTTGGCGGCCAATAGCCATTTCAAGCCGAGAAATAAAATCAGTATATGCTTCTGTAGGCCCTTGCATAATTTTTATATAGCTTTGCCCCACTTCCCCTGAAGGGGTTAGCTTTTCCCAGGCTCCGAGGGCAATTTCAGATACCTGCTCTGTGGCTGCAGGCAGAGTGTTAACCAGCTGCTCTCGAACATCTGAAAAGGGGCCAGAGCCAGTGAGCATTTCAAAAGAAATATGATGGGCGCCTGGGTGGCTCAGTTGGTTAAGCGACTGCCTTCGGCTCAGGTCATGATCCTGGAGTCCCGGGATCGAGTCCTGCATCGGGCTCCCTGCTCGGCAGGGCGTCTGCTTCTCCCTCTGACCCTCCCCCCTCTCATGTACTCCCTCTCTCTCATTCTCTCTCTCTCAAACAAAAGAAATATGATGCATGGCTGCTGGGTTAGCCCGATTCGCCCGGGCTTTCATATAGGCAGCATCCAATAACCACATTTTCCATTGCAATAAATCCTGTGGCTTAAGGCAAGCCCATGCAACCATATGCCAATCATAAGGGAACCACACCCCAGAATTTGCCCAAGTTTTCAAAATCTCTATAGTATAAGGGGCTGTGGGTCCATACAAGTGGCAAGCCTTCTTTAGTTCCCTTAAGGTATTTAAATGTAATCCCTCATAGACAGGACCAACAACCTGTGTTCAGTCTATGGGGAAAGCCATAAACAAATCATTAGTCCCTTGCTGTCGGAGTTCCTTTTCGAGGGGTGAGAGAGGTAGAGAGGATCGTTTGAGAGGGAATAAATCTACTGTGGAGGGAGGTTGATCATCTTCGGTGGGGTCCTCCGTTAAAAGTGGAGGGGCCGTGGGTGACGGCCGGGACTGTGAAGCCGTGAAAATTTTTTTACTTTCAGTCTTAGCCTTTTCTAAAGTCTCATTGTCTAATTCATATGTATGTAAAGAGTTGGTAGTTTCTCTAGCAACTTCAGCCGGGGATAACTTATCCCCAGTTTCCATAGTATTGATCACCACTCGTACTAAAGCCCAAATGGGCCAAAAATCAAGAGGAATCGTTTGACCCTGTCTCATAGCCCTCAAGACATTATTTTTCACTCGGACCCAAGTCTCTTCATCTAAGGAGCCTTCTTCCGGAAACCAAGGATTATATTCAACTACTGTTTCCAAACATTTTTCTATGTGCTGCTTAGTAACTTTAGCTCCATATTCTTTAAGAAAATGATGTATTAATGCAGCAAAACCTGATGTTTTCGAATTTGATTCCCCCATAACCCTGTAATAAACTTTCCTACTTACGGTTCCTAGCGCTGGCCGATCACTCCTCGACGGGGGCTTCAGGTCCCTGTTCGGGCGCCACTTGTCGACCTCAGAGAGTCGGGGACCTGGGTGGCGAAGGAACTGAGAAAAAGAGACGACAGTATACGGAAGCACAGGGAGACCCCGACCAAACAGCCCGAGGTGCTGAGGTTTAGTTTCCATACTCTTATATACCTTCTACAGCGATATAGATCTATAATGATTTACAGCAGGGGCATAGTAAGGCACATTCCTCCGTGTAAACAGGATTAGTTAAGTGAAGCAGTGGGAGTGGAGAAGGAATAAAGAAATCTGTAACTGGCTGTGATCAATTAATTGTAAACACCATTGTACTCGGACCTTAACACAGGATAAGAGAACAAAGAAGGGAGTGCACAGTGCGCTTTTTACAGCTGGCTTCCTGTCTACAAAACATCTTCTGCTGTGTACTTTAGAACAGACCACACACATCCCAAGGGCATTTCACTCTGATCCTTTCGGGTTATTTTTAACCCTGAGATCTTGAGTTTTCTCAGAGATCTCGGAGTCTGAGTGAACATGCGCCAGTGGTCGTTGTGGTGTTCTGTTTCCCACAAAATTGGAGAGAAATGGAGAAGAAAAGCATAGAAGAGCGGTCCTGTCTTCCAATTCTGGCTTCCCGAACCCACTTCCTGTTTCACTTTCAGTCTGCTGACGTCATCCTTTTTTCCCTGTCTTTGAAGATCTTTGAGATTTCCTCTCATAGGTTTATGGTACACCTGTATTTCATCTAGTCTGACTGGGTTTTGTTTTCTTGTAATCAACTTTCTTCTCTAGTTGAGGACAGTCAGTAATACCATGGGGAGAATCAGCTTCTCAGGCTGGTAGTTGGTCACAGGAGACAAAGACCCAGCGCTGGGAATGCACAGCAATGAGGGAGTGGGCCAGTGAGAGGTAGAGGGGGCTCAGGGAAGGCATGGAAGGATGGAAATAAAAAGCGATTAACTTACAATTTCACTGAGGGCTCACCTCATTCCTTTTGATGATTGGATAAGCTATTTTCTTCTTCATGCCCTCCCCCACCAAAATCAGAGAAAAAGTCAAATTATTTACTCTTCCAGATTTTTGTGCTACAGTCCACCCCCACTATAATTCTCATCACATGTTCTCATCACAGCTCCTCATGGGGCCACAATACACTCTCCAGAGCTGTGGGGGCCGGAACAGGTATTTGTTTTATCACTGATGTGGGGGGCTTGATTCCATTTTCATTGCCTTAACCGTGGAAGGGTCTACACCACCTTAGCCGCTATGCCACCAATAAGGAATATGCTTGTTGTTTTTCTTTAAAATGGGATTGCAAGGGGCACCTGGGTGGCTCAGTTGTTAAGCGTCTGCCTTTGGCTCAGGTCATGATCCCAGGATCCTGGGATGGAGCCCGCATCATGCTCCCTGCTCTGCAGGAGGTCTGCTTCTCCCTCTCCCACTCCCTCTGCTTGTGTTCTCTCTCTCTCTCTCTCTCTCTCTCTCTCTCTCTCGCTGTCTCTTTCTCTGTCAAATAAATAAATAAATCTAAAAAAATAAAACTAAAATAAAATGGGATTGCAAGATTTTTCAGAAATGCATACATCTGTTCTGCAGAGTATTTGAAGAGGGAAGAGTCAGGGCCTTCTTCGAGACAGATAAAATTAATTTAATAATATATTTTATTTAACCCAATGTATTAGTTTTCAATGGCTGCCATAACAAAGTACCATGAACCAAGTGGCTTAACCAACATAAATTTATTGTTTCATACTTTCAGAGGCCAGAAGTCAGATCAAAGTGTCAGCGGAGCCATGCTCCCTCTGAAGGCACTAGGAAAGGATCTGTTTCAGGCCTCTTTCCCAGCTTCTGATAGTTCCTTGGCTTGTGGCAGCATAGCTCTAAACTCTACCTGGTGTTCTTCCCACGTGAGTGTGTCTGTGTCTTTGAATTTCCCCTTTTAATATGGACGCTAGTCCATATTAGCAGCTCACTCTACTCCAGGATGACCTCATCCTAACTAATTACATAGCAAACAGACATCCTATTGCCAAATAAGCTCACGTTCTGAGGTACTGGAAGTTAGGACTTCAATACATGAATTTTGAGGGGACACAATTCAATCCATAATACCCAATATATCCACTATAGTATTATTTCAATACGTAATCAGGATAAAAATATAGAGATGTTTTACACTCCTGCTTTCATATTAAGTCTTTGAAATTCAGTGTATATTTTACACCTACAGGATTCTTCAATTTGGACAAGCCTCTTTTCAAGTGCTCAATAGCTACAAAATACAAATATAAAACTTCTTAGAATCACAGAAATTCTATTTTTTAAAATATTTTATTTATTTGGCAGAGAGAGAGAGCACGGCCAGGGGGGAGTGGCAGGCAGAGGGAGAGGGAGAAGCAAGCTCCCTGCTGAGCAGGGGGCTCAACGCAGGGCTCGATCCTGATCCCAGGACCCTGGGATGATGACCTGAGCTGAAGGCAGGCTTAACCAACTGAGCCACCCAGGCGCCCCTCACAGACATTGTATTAGACAGCATGCTCTGGAAAACAAAACTACGCAATGGTGATAGGAAGCAAATCAACTGTTGCCTGGAAGGGACAAGAAGGAGGTGATTACAGAGGGGCATGAGGAAAAGTTTCGGGGTGAACCTATGTTCATTATCTTGATGGTAGTGATGGTTCTATATGTTAGAACTTATCAAATAGTGCACTTTAAAGGTGTACATATTATTGTATGTCAATTATACATCAATAAAGCTCAATTATACATCAATTTAAAGAATTACTTGTAAAAACATTCAAATAATACTGTAGGACAAATGACATAAGCTCCTATTCACCATATTACTATGTTTTGAATTTCAGAAGTTTATATGAAAATGATGATTTATAATTTTTCATAATTTATCATAAATTTATCATTTTTCATATTATAATAAGATTTTACTATTCTACAATTTACTTTTTTTAAGACATTTATTTGAGAGAGAGAGAGTGTGCATGAGTGCGGGGAGGGGCAGAGAGAGGGAAAGAATCTCAAGCAGACCTCCCCACAGAGCTTGGAGTCCACTCCGGGCTTGATCTCACAACCCTGAGACCATGAACTGAGCCTAAAGAGTCAGCCACTTAACTGACTGAGCCACCCAGTTACCCCTACAATTTACTTTTTTAACATCCTATTTGTATGAGCTATCTTTGGATAAATTATATATTATTATAAACGGAGTCCATGTTACATTACTCCAAAACTTGGCAGCTTAAAACAAGAAACATTTATTCTGTCACAGTTTCTGGAGTCAGAAAGCCAGCAGCAACTTAGCTTCATGGATCTGATCACGGTCCTTATGAAGTTGCCGTCAAGCTGTCGACTGGGCCTGCAGTCACCTGAAGCCTCAACTGGAATGGAGGACCCAATGCAGAGCTCATTGGGGTGGTTGCTCAAATAGCCTTCGTTCCTCTCTCTTTGGGCCACTCCATAGCCTGTGTGTGCATCATCACACAATGTTAACTGGCTTCCTCCAAAGGTTATGAGAGAGAAAGAGACAGAGAGAGAGAGAGCCCAAGATGGAAGCCACAGTATTTTCTAACCTAATCTTGGAAGTGACATCTTTACATTACGGCTACATGCTGTTATTCACACATACAAACCCCCATAGAGTGTGGGGAAGGATTGTGGCCACTTTGGAAACCAGGAGGTGGTGATCGTTAGAAAGGGTCTTAGCAGCTGACACCACAAAAGAAGAACTGACATGTGTACTTATTTCCTCACTCTTTTAAATAGCTACATTGTGTTCTGTGTTTCAGAAACAGGCTCTTAGCTATGATCATGTAAAATATTCCCTACTTTTCAAGAATACAGATAATAAATGAATCAACATACACTTTTACCCACTAGTGCAAATATTAAGATAAATTACTACAGTAGAACTGTGGACAGACGATAAACACATTAAAAATTCAGATAGATCTGAAGTTTCCTCTGAAAATTTTGATTATCTGATTCCCTAAAATTGAATGATATTGACCATTTCCCCCATCATCACCAATACTACATTCAAATATTGCAAATATTCACATTCTTCTCTATGTCCCTTTGCCTTGAGAGACAAAGAAGTCCCCTTCCTCCAGAGGTAGAGGGAAGGCACCTCTCATTGGAGGGTTTTATTTTATTTTATTTTTTATTTTTTAAACGTATTTCAGAGAGAGAGCGAGCACAAGCAGGGGGAGTGAGAGGAAGAAGAGGATACTGGGGTCCATCCTAGGAACCTGGGATTATGACCTGAGCGGAAGGCAGACATTTGACTGAGCCATTCAGGTACCAAAAATATTATTTTTTAAAGTAACATCTATGACCAGGGTGAGGGTTGAACTCATGAAACTAATATCAAGAGTTGCATGCGATAATGAGCCAAACAAGCATCCATGAAAATACTGATAATATGTGATAAAGAAAAAATATGACAACTAAGAAGTATGGTTATATAGAACAACATGTGATGGAAGATATGATAGAAACTTAATTCTAAAACAAGAATGGTAGTTACAGGATTACATTGCTTTCCCCTGACCGTCATAACAAATTACACATTGAGGGCCATAAAACAAGAAAAATTTATTCTCTCACAGTCTTCAATTAAACCCGAAATAAAGATGACACTAGGGCAATGCCCTGCTAAAGTTCTAAGAAAAAATCTTTCTTACATCCCACTAGCTTTTCCTTCCTCCCAGGATTCCCTGGATTTTTGCAAAATAAAAATCAAATGTGCCTTAATACCCACGTTCCAGACATTTTCTATGTACCTCTTTCACTGTAACCTGCACTTTTCATAGGAAAACCTCAGCAGGTTCCAAGGAGGAAGCCTGTTAAAGGACTGGAAAGAGAGGTTGGAGTAGCTCCTGGCTAGGTGTCGGCTAAGGCGCCAGTGGGAAAACCTTCAACGGGCAAACTCGGCCGTGGGCCTGCGCGGTGGCGGTCGGGGCTGGGGGAGGTGGAAGGCGTTCCAGGGAACACGCTTGCCACTTTGCCGTGGGACTCAAGGGATGGGTGATGCGATTTCAAGAACCTGTTGGCTACAAGTCCACCGTCTGTCTCCGGTGTGCCTCCACCCCCTCCCCCTGCTTGGCTGTTGGGTTTTCCCCACCGGCCTCCCGAATCTTCCTGCTGTCTCTCCTGCACTGCCCGTCGGTTCTGCTTCGTGCACGCGTCCACGTTCGCTCTACCAACTCCACAACCCGGCGCAACCGTGCCGCTCTCTGCTCGTGGTGGCCGGGAAGCTGGACCGAGCGGTGGCTGGCCCGAGGGCGAGGGAAGGGACCAGGGGCTCCAGCAGGTGTCCCGACGCAAAGAGGCAGATCGCTCACCCTGCCCCGACCTCTTCCCCCTCCGACCCCCCACCCCCCCGGCCCGCTTCCCCGCACCGTCAGCACTCAGTAGCACCTCCGGAAGGAGCAAGGGGTGGCTTGTCAGGGGTGGCGGGGTTTCTCCTGGCGGCAGCAGTGCAGCCGGAGAGTCCAAGCCCCTGCGGTGGCCGGACGTGCGGGCGTCTGTGGGTGGCCCCGCGTGAGGACAGAGGGTAGCGCGCGCGCGCGCGCGTGCGCGCGGCCTCTCGGGTTTGGGACGGAGGAAGAGGGGGAGCCATGCGAGCGCCCAGGCGAGGCGCCGACGCGCTGCCGTTGGGCGGCCGGCCCGCTGGCGAGGCCAAAAGGGTTGGGCTGGCCGAGGCGACAGGGCAAGGCTTGGGCTCGGCCGTGCGCCTGGCCTTGTCTGGGCCCCGAGGCCGTGGGGCTAGCCGCGAGGCAAGGGAGAAGCCAGCCAGCTTCGGCTAAAAGGGGTGCGGATGCGCTGGGGAGAGGTCGGGAGGCCGAGAGGAAGAAGAAAGGCTTCCCTGACCGGGAATCGAACCCGGGCCGCGGCGGTGAGAGCGCCGAATCCTAACCACTAGACCACCAGGGAGCGTCGGGCTCTGCGCCTGGCCCGCGCGCCCTGGGCGCAGCGCCTCCAGACCACCCCGTCGCCTCCGCTTTGGCTCCAAGGCCCCTGCCTGGCCACGGCCAGCCGCCCGCCCGCCCTACCAACCCACCCGCCCTGCCGGCAGCACCCTCAAAACGCTGCGCACCTCCTTCCCTCCCTCACACACGCGCTCAGCCTCGGGCCACGCTCCGGCTCCGGGCTCTCGGCTCCCGGCTCCCGGCTCCCATCGGGCCTGGGCACGAGGGCCCTGGAGCCGTGCAAAAGGTTGGCCAGCTGCGTTGGCCGGGAATCGAACCCGGGTCAACTGCTTGGAAGGCAGCTATGCTCACCACTATACCACCAACGCTGCACAGCCCCGGCCGCCCCGAGACGCCGGCGCACGCTTCGCAGAGGCGCCTTCACGCCTTCTCGCCGCCGCCTGGGCCGCCTGGCGCCGCCCTGCCCCGACGTGCCGCCGGTCGGC